GACGAAAAGCCAAGCCTATTCAGAAGAGACAAACCCATCTTATCGTCAGAGAGGATGTTACGTAAAGACTATTGCCGCGAGGGCTCAGTTGCAAAACGAAATGTTTGCTCGCGAGCCTCAAGAGGCTGATCGCCAAGACGAACTGATTAGTGGTACACCGCCAGTTGTAAAATAAATCTGCCTCTGCCTCTGACTCTGAGAGTGGAGCATTTGGGTTACTTGTGAGGCAGTCGCCAACCGATAACGACGTGAGCAGAAGAGGACAGTGTTGGTATCCGCTACCAAGCAACAGCTAGTTAAAAAATCCAAGATTTGGTGCGTGCTGTAGTGATCAGTCGAGAACAAGAATTAGCGAGAGGGCTCTAGTTACCCACATTTACGATTTGTAAACGTTTAATAAATCCAATTGCCAATCGAAACTCGTGTGTAGTCACTAAATCCTTACATATTCTTCATTTCCTGGCTTGGCATTTTTTGTTCAGTCGCTCCAGTTGTCCTCCTGCCTTCAGACCTCAGTCCTTGCTTTCACTACATTTTCCCTTCATTCACTTCCTGACTGTTGCAATTTTACGGCTATCATATTTGCAGATGTCGGACAGGGTGTGAAGTGAACTGGTCAAGAGAAACTAACTCTGCGTTAGGTAACCGAGCTGACAGAAAATATTTCTGTTCGGGATAATTTTAGAATATCTCAAGTCCATCTTACTTCAAAATAAAGAAGAGTGGATTTACCAATTCGTAACGATTCCTCGTTAAACCACAGCAGTCCTACAGCATTAGCTCCTAAACGTTCATTTGTTTTAGATGAAATCCTTTGAAGTTCTCCTATTCATGACTGGGCAGATCCTTCTAGAATAGGTAAAATGGACTTTCGAAACTTTTTTAATCAACACTTCTCGGAATTGAGGGTGGGAAAAGATCTCTTGTAACTTCTCGGATTGCTTCCCTCACCCTTCGACTTCCATCGTAGGGAAGGTTATATGTTGTTCTGCCCCATTCATCCTGAGGCACACCTGCTGTATCTCACCGCAGTTGTCATCGCGCACTGAGGAAACCGAGACATGCGCTGTGAAGAGTGATCTAATGACGGTGCTGCTCCTTCGGAGCGAATTGGCGTATCTGCATTCTATGCGGACAGACTTACAGCTACTCGTATGTTCAGATGACATTCCTAACCCTTGAAGCCACCAGTTCATGTGAGTAATGTTTAGAAACACCTCACACCAAATAGGCTACATATCCCAACTGGCAAGTGCTGTTAGGAACATAATCGGTGCTTGTCCTGTGAATTACAAAGAAATACATAATACATCTGTTGACAGAATGCAGGCATTCTTAATGTTAAATCGTGTGTAATTACAGTTACAGCTTTGCTTTACAGATTTTTACATCACTCTCAATGCATTTCTTCCTGTAATATAAAAATGATGAAATGTGTGAAAACGAAGAAACTCCTCTGCCTTCGGAAAGCCTGCTTCTCGCTTCTCGTGTACGGAATTGAAGAGGCGCTAATAGGGGGCGCGGGAAGTTATGAGGGACCCCACATCCACCTTTTGCCGCAAGTCTACCGAGATGGGGCGCGTTCCTGCGGGCTCTTAGAAATTAAAAAGCGCCCACGATTTGATATTTAAATTCGTTTATACGCAGCCACACACACGCGCTATCAGAAATCAAAACTCTGATTTACTGTTGTGTATTCTGGAGGTGATCATCATGTTGAATATTGCAGTGAAATCACGTCGCCAGTCGCCACGTGTATCGACAATTATTCTTGGTGGCGTGAACTTGATCTATTTCCTGTTCTCCTCCTGCTAGCTTGAAGTGAGATAACTTTATCAAGATGCTGGCAGAGTTGAGAGCGGCCATATCGAGTATTTTCCAAGTTACCGTGAGGATGTTTCCACCCCTACCGATTGCAAGGCACAGTTCAAACACTGCCTTAGCAGATTTTATGGGAGTGAGCGTGAATGCGTCGAGAAAGTGAACGAAAGTGACCAGGCAGTAACCGCTATTTCAGTTCAACAGTTTTAGTCATGAGCGAAGCCCCAGTGCTTAACTTTACTCACTGAGTATATTTTTAATAAATTTAGGTCATAGCATGAATGCAGTAAGGAAAACAGTTGTTAATCGAAATAATAAATTTCGAAGTAGGTGCGCTGAGGAATATTTATTTATTTCTACTGAAGGAGTTACTTCTTGCACAGCTTAAAACAAAAAGAAAGGAGTTTGTACTGTAGCATGACGAAAGTCCTGCACAATTTTCCCGCGCGATGATACAACATCTGGTAGATGGATCGGTCGTGGGCGCCAAAGGGTCACCCGACCTTAACCCCACGGATTAAGGTGCGTACGTGTGGAGAATCCGCGGGGCAATTTGCTGACTCGCAGCCCACATAAAGGAGCGTCACGACCAACACAGACGAACAATGCGCCGTTTTTGCTGCGAAATGCATCGAGAATGACACTGCAGTTTCGAAAACTTGTAAATTTAAATAACTTGGTTTTCGGTATTTGCTGTACAGCATTCAAAATGCCGATCTTGAAACATTAAACGTTAGGTAGTAATACTTTAATGACATTCTCAGTGCTGATGCAAACACCCATATACCCACAACCATTCAGATTTTGATGAACGTTTTTATCAAATTTTTTCACTTACATTGACCTCTACAATCATCTCCCGGAGCACTGACATTTCCTCCTAAAACATCCTGTGAAATGTACATAGCAAATAACAGGGTCAACATATGAACGCAAATAAACGAGAATTTGTGAACGGTTTACTCTGCTCGTCAGCATATGTAGAACGCAGTGACCAGAAAGCAAAGCGTTCCACTTGCATGACGTGCGATATCAGGAAGCATGACGCATCAGAAAATGACTCAAATCGATAAGGAAGGATCCGAGGGGGGGGGTGAAATTTCATTTGCTGGAAACACAATGGGTTACTTTCCGCCAAATAGTAAAGCATGGATGTTAGGCCTACAGGAAAGTAAATCCTGAAGCCAGGATTGATGGTAGCACCTGGCATGACGCCTGAAGCCTGATACACTAGGCTTAAGCTTGGATTCTGAGCGGGTGTGTAGGCCAAAATATTAGGCTCAAGGTCGAAATCAAGATCAGTATTATTATTGTGCAGTAAGCCTATAGGTCAACAAGTTGGATTTAAACTTGCAACTGGACTTCGCACTGCTGCTTAGAACTGGGCCTATGGCCAAACCTGTTATTTACTTCAAGAGAAAAGCTACAATTCTACTGAGTGTGGATACCGGGTCTGTATGTCAGCAAGTTTAAGTCAGGAGTAGGTTCACAGGCCTCCATGTTAGGTTCATGCTTGAAGCATTGTTTTGTAGTAGCTTGTGTAGAGCTCAAGCTGTTGGGTTCGAGGTTAAAGTCATGATTCGTGTCTTTACCGGGTAAAAAGTTTTATAGATCGACGTGTGAGGTTAGAGACTGAAGCCTGAATTCATACTATGACTGTCTACTACAGCTGTAAGTAAATTTCTTAAGTACACGCTTCATGTTAGATTTCGTACAGTTAAGCTGACATGTTCTGTTCAAAATAGAAGTCGTAATTAGTACTGTTAATCTGTGAGGAATATTGGATCCGGTCAGCGATGTTGAGAAGTTTCCTCCTTGATTGAACACCTGTATAATGTTCTTTCGTTAGCTTTTCATGAGCAAACTCTTGCAAAGAAGGGTGTGAATAATGAATTCTCCCAATTGATACATTTTTCCATTCCGATGTGATTGTATCTTTCTTGGTATTAATATTTTCCACACGAAAACTGTCAATCTGCACGAAATAACTTACCTTGTAGTTATTGTTGTTGCCGCCCGCAGCGGCACCAGTTTCCAGACTGTACCTGCTGCCGCGACTTCGCACCGAGCCAGTCGATGACATGGCCAACATCTCCACAGATGCGGAACTCGCTTCCTCCGCGGACTCGGTCCTCATGGCTGCGGTGCCGCTTGCAGTCCTCAACTTGCGGAGAATCCTGGCCGGATTGCTGCTTCTGGCTGCAGAGGTTCCTGCGGCCGCTACGGCGGGCGCTGCGCCGGCAGGTTCCAGACCGCTACTGCTCTGAGGTACCATCGTGCCCGTACTGCTGCTTCCAGCGCCGAGCCCTGACCAGCAGTCGCTCAGCATTTGGTCCTGAAGCCTCGCGAGGAGGCACGAAGGTGCCAAGTCAGCGGCTGTCACTCCCGCTCGGTTCTTCAGAGAGATCTGCGCGCCTCGTTCCACCAGGTCCAGTACACATTCCCAGGGCACAGTCGCCTGACAAACTGCCAGATGAAGGGCCGTGTTGCCGTGGCCGTCCTGTTGAGAGCAACAGTACTGATTATTCTGTTGCTGCACCTGAAACTGGTGACTGGAAACGCTGTGGGCGTTGTTGTGCTTAATTTAACCCAGTGCCATGACTTCATATAAGGGACNAGCTGCACCTGAACCTGGTGACGAAATCAAGACTGAAAATGCTGTAGGCGTTCAGTCTTATGGCAAATTTATTGTTGTGCTTAATTTAACCCAGTGCCATGACTTCATATAAGGGACTGGAGATGTGAGTCCATGTATTCAGAAACTTTGCACCAGATGGAAATGATTTGTCAGCGTCACACCAGGAAATTAGCCGATGATAGCCACTCAATAGGATGCTGGGTGAAGTTGAGAGGAGGAAATCTCTTGTTCCTCCCAGAAATAGAACCCCGATTACTCGCTCATCGAAAACGAAACCGGTCACAATAACGACTTAGCTCTTACAGCCAAATTTTAGTCCTGACCTCCGAGCGAACATCAGCAACACATTATAACCAGTTGCGAAATAGTGTCCATGACTGAAGATTATGAAATTGTGTTAAACATATGAGAGAGGCAGACTCTGTGGAAGTTACGGGTCCAGTAAGGGAGCAAGGCATCTGGACTATCAGACCTAACTGAGAGCTGGAGGAGCCATACAGAACCCTCATCTGACACTGGATATCAGAAGTAGAAGATTTGAGTCGTTGGGGCATGTGACTGGAATGCACAGAACTAGATGGCCGGAAGATGCTGAGAATGCTTTACGAGAGCTGACAGGGAAGTGCTGAAGGAAGGAGGCAAATAATAGACAATAATGTGCGTTTCTCATTAAGAAAACCAAGGTTCCGAGAAGGCTGCACCTCAGCAGAACAGAAATAAGCACGTGCAGATGGAAAGTTTCACGCGAAAGAAGGGTGGAATTATAATGTGAGATGGGAAAAGCACAAAATTTCAGCACCCCTCGACGTGAAGGGGTCTATAATATCCATGCCACGAACGCTTACCTGGCAATAGCAGAGGGATATGGAATTTTACTGATACCATTTAACGTCACGGAAATAAAATTAACCTCTTTCCTCAGGCATTACCATAACAATGAGACTGCAGGCATTGTGTGCTGAGATGGGAATAAGTCGCCATTGTAGTCTGCAGTGAGTTATCTCAAGAAGATCTTAATTACAATATGGCAGACCGAGATGCGCAAGCAAGAGCAAGCTGACGTCTGATGGTGAGTACAGAAACAGAATGCAACTTAATGTAATATATTCCTGTCTTCCATGCAACTTCCTTTTTAAAAACTTTTAAAAATTTAAACGTTAAAATCTCTTGTACTCTACTGCTGTATTCACTCTACATGCTTCGTACAACAAATGAACTTACGGACTAAAGAACAACATTTTAGAAACTTCTGGAGATGAGAGATTTTTGTAGAAGCATGTTGTATGCATACCACGTACACAAGCCATGTAGGTGAGATTTTAAAAGTTTTAAAAAGCAAGTTGCAGGTAAGGGGAATATCAGAATGCAATTCTGCAACACTGGCCAAGCTGCTGGGGAAGTGACGCAGCGAGAGAGTCAGTAGTCTCAGTCCGAACGTCAACACTGCCTTGTTGCATGGGTAAAGTCTTACCTGAACAATTTTGAATTGTCGCTTTTAATTTCCTTGGTTTAAAAATGGTTTTTGTTGCACGTCTGGATGTTCGCCCGCATTTTTGTAGGCTTCGGACCCACCTTTGCCTCTGAGATAGCTGCTACACATATTTTAGCGAAAGCTATTAAATGAAAGGTGACAAAGAAGGAAGTCTCAAATCTGAGACAGTAAAATATGGTCTCGAGTCGCAATTGACTCGGACCCAACAAAGACTGCACTGGCAAGGACCAGCAGCATATACAAAAAGACAGACCCGTCCTCTCGTCAGAGAGGGCGCCCCACAAAAACAAACCCAGATGGGACTCGACACCAAGACTTACTGACTGACTGACTGACTGACTGACTGACTGACTGACTGACTGACCGTCAGTCGCAATGTGACTCTGACTAAATGAATGCAACCGAAGATGGAAGAGACACAGAATAGGCAAGTCTTTCAGGATATAATCGTTTCTTTTGGCCACCAATTACTTACTGAAACCTGTTGTGTGGCACAAAATTTGTCCCTTTTGACGAATGCATTGTTGCCTGGTAGATTTTAGATCAGGGCACTAGAAATTAGTGATCATGAATAAAGCGCTATGAGATGGCACCTGTGGACGGGGAGGGAGTGTGCTCTCTCCAGGATGGGGCCCGAGTAACTCTGAACATGGATGCAGCCGGATGCACCGAAACACATGAGACTACATAAGACTTGTCTGCACTCATTAAGATTCAGTGACACATACCTGAAAATTGACCGCTGCGCCGTATTTGAGCAGCAAATAGACAAGTGTGGCATTGCCACGGACAACAGCGAGGAAGAGCGCTGGCAGCGTGAACAGGTAGTGCCTGGTGTACACGTCAGTCATCTCTGTCACTTTATCAGGAGATAAATTGGGATTTATTCTCAGGAGCTGACCATTGGGGTCATCCTGCCTCGGGCTCCCCATTCCTAAAGGGCCCTCGTCATCATCATCATCCTCTGACGTACTGAGCGGGCTCTCCGAGCAAGACGACGGGCATGAAGACGTGTCATCATCATTGCTTGATGATTCCTCTTCCTGCTGGTTGAGACGCCTCTGCTCATGAGCTGCGAGTAATCTCGCCAAGTCAACTTGGTTGTCTGCAGGAGTCGCGCCTGCGCTCTGGTCCGCAGTAGCAGCTGACTCCATCTCTCTCATGGAGAGGTTCAGTAATATGCTTTTAAATATTTCACTGCTGCGGCGGAGCTCTGCAAATATGCTGCGTTCCGGAATATGCTTTGCCGGTGCTGTTGATGTGGGCTGCTGAGCAACTGGTGCAAGGGTTCTTTGTGGGGGTGAAGCTTCGTGAGGTCGCGGTGACATCAACGGGCTCGATTTTAAGGACACACTACGACGTTCGCTGTGCCACTGGCTTGACGGCGCGACACCGGGTCGCAAGAATTCAGACTCCGACTCCAGTGAGAAAGACCTTTGCCGTGGTATGTATTTGAAGGCCGGACGTCGCTTCCTGCAGGAGCCGGGGCGTGAAGTCGAGGGTGGGGGTGGAGACACCCAACTGACCCGTCGTGGTTGAGGCACTCCTATTGCTATAGTTCCAGGCGATGGCGGTGAAAGGGCTATTGTCGGGGACGAGACCGGAAAACGAGCTGCAAAAGAACAATGGAGTCTGAGTAAGGGTAACAGTTATTTTAATAGATCCCACAAAATGGTGTCAGTCGCAGTTTATCTAGTCGAAACACATCCCTTGTCTTACGGAAATCAAATTTTTATTACAGTTCCCACAAAGTGTGAGTCAGAAACCTCGAGTCACCACCCTTCATTTTTTTTAATTCCCTTTTAATCACTTCCGGATCTGAGCTAGGCATATTCAATTCACGTATCACATACAAGCGCCCTGCATGTCCTTCCCAATTACCCACTTCACTTCTTCTGCCTAATGCGAATTATGAAGTTCTTTATACTGCAGTCTTCTCCATTCTCCTCCACTTAATTACTCTTAGACTTAAATCCGTTGAACACGTCGTCCTCAAGCACCCTTAACGGATATACTTCCCTCAGAATCACCACGAGATGATAAAGTAACAAGTGAACATTATTTAATGCATCCTCATTTGGTGATGATGAATGTTACACAATCTGAGCGTAATGGTGGTGCACATTTCCCTGCTCAGTCCGCTCGCAACTTCTTTGTTAAAGCAATTCTGATATGTAGTCTTGTTTCCGTGTTTTTAAGGCATAGTAAGTCTATTTATATCAAAATTTCATTTAAAATTTCGGTGATGACACATTCACGATAATACATCTCATAATTCATAGAGCTGTTTGGGCATATGAACATTACAAGATAATACTAAATCATAAAACATTAAAGCTGGTACGGTACCTGCATTTCGCCACATAAGGATCTATGGTTTGTCAGCATGTTTGAGTGTACTGTGTGCCATTTCACTGCTTCGTGGATGTTAAAAACATCCACTTCCCTTCGATCCACACACACCTGTGTCTCCAGCGAGAGGTCTTCCAAAATCAAGTGTAAGTAAATACTTTTATTTTCTCTACCTGGAGTGCGCGCCTGCCCTGTCATTCTCCCCCTCCCCAATACAAATAACAGCCCCTCAGTCGCTTTCTTCTTGAATCCCACAGCCTGAAGCAATAAGCTCGCTCTGCTCTGAACTTACCGGAATCCGGAGTTTTGGCTTCGGGTGAGACGGATGTCAGGGGCTCGCCAAAGAAGCTGCCCCCGCCATGCCCAGAGCCAGAAGCGAGACTGCTGAAGTCTGGAATGGCCAGACGCCCGCCCTGATTGGGTTCCAGCCCGTACTTGAGCAGGAGTCGAACCACGTCCACCGCATCGTGCTCCACAGCGACGTGGAGAGCATTGGTGAAGATGAGGGGTATGAGGGGCTCGTTCTCCACAGACGACACGGAGCACCCTTCGCTGGGGTACACAGGGTCCAACCTGAGCAGACACAGAAAAGCGGCACTGAGATGTCCCAGGTGCACACGCGCACACTGACCGACCGTGCAATGCATTTTACTCTTTTATCTGTGACCTCTAGCTAGTGCCGATGTCAAGAAAATGTGGATCTATACATCCACTCCCCCATACGCCTTCATAGCGTAGTGCTTAATTAGTCAAGAACAGGGGGCAACTTTACCCTACTTTACCTTTTGCCGTGACAGAAATATATGGTATAGTCTACTGCCTGCTGATCACCGTGGCCGCGCGGTCTAAGGCATTAGCTGTCTTCGCCTGCTCAAACACTGGGATCGTCGGTTCGAATCCCACTCAAGGCACGAATGTCTGCGTGAGTCTATTCTGTATTTCTGCCGTTCTGTGTGTGCAAGCAGCGGCCTTGCGACGGGCTGATCCCCCGTCCAAGGAGACCTAACATCTGTGTAAAAGATCAAGAAATGGAAAAAGCGGTCAAGGCCCAACAAAAGGGCCTTAGGTTCATAGATAGATGGATGGACGGACGGATAGGTAGATAGACGCAAAGAAGGATAGATGAATGATAAAGCATGTCATACTTCACAATAATTGGTTAGAATTGCAACTAAAGTGGAATTGGCTGCTATTTTACTAGAACTTTAAAGTCCACAGATAAATAATAACCATGAATTATATCTTGAGGGAATAACGACCTGTAATTCGCCGAAAGTTAACCGAAGTTCCTCAGAAATACATATGTATATATATATATTAAGCACCGCTGTGAGAACAGATAATAATTTTGCCGTTCTAGCGGTTTATCATGTAACACGAGGTACATTGATATCCGCCTGATTTTGACAAAATGATGTCGAAGCGGCTACCTTCTAAAGGTGCAGATTATTAATTCTCGTGCTGCTGTTAGTGCAGAGAACCAGAAAATACGAACCGAGTGCCACGTCGTAAGGAAATTCACCGTTTCGCTTTCAGTGGGTCCACTAATGACGGCTACTGCGACGCAACACGTGACTTTCTGACTACGTGAAGGCATGAAGCTCGCAGCTGATTGCAGATTGCCCTCGGCCTATATGTCACCTCACATTCAACAATAAAAAAATGTTATCAACAAGTACCATTCTCTTCGAAGATCTAACATCACACAGAATTTCAGGGCCAGAAATGAAGTTCATTATAAACTACGGAATGCTGGAATAAGATTGATCAGGGATTGAATGCATCTGTTTCACAAACCCGCCTGCCCACATGCCTATATAAATGCATACGTACGTACGTACATACAAGCCGCGATTATCCGGTTTCTGTTAATCAAGCCCCATAGCAGAAGTCAAAATCAACTCATTTAAAAATGAAGTAAAGCGATCCCTATAATAGGCAGTGGAAGTCCAACTGGATTGTGAGACAGTTTTTATATAACCGGCTCACAGATGGTGGTGAGGCTGTCAGCCTTACGTGCAGGCCGCCCTTTACCCCCAGGAAGTTTCCTGGTACTCATTTCTGTTAGAGGCTGAGTCGGCCTCTGGGCCATAGTGCGGCTGGAAGGATTAGGTCAATTTAGAAAATTAAATAAATAATATATATGTTATGGCCCAAATTTGAGATTGGAGAGGGTATGGTATTACCCAAATGTTAGAGACTTGCGAAAAGCGTTTCGCAGTTATTACAGTAAATTGTAAACACCAGGACTGGCAATTAGGTTAAGAATGTGGATGCTCAGCAAGTCTGTGTAATCGCAGAGCAAGAGCTTGCCTCACTCGGTCACTGGATTAATCGTAAGAGACCGCATACACAGCAATAAGACGCAAGGGGTCCGCCCACAACCACCCATGAGAACCAATGAGAATGTTACTAGGAGGATTGAGGACACCGGGTAGGAGTACCTACCCTCTGTCGTCAATGCCGAATCAGCGAATTAAAACTATAAATTAGGGAATTTCGGGGGACTTGGATCATGTTCTAACTCATAATATTCAGTTGTCAGCCGGAGGCTCTCGGCGACATGTATACCACAAGAGGGTGGATGACGGCAGTAATCTACATGTGTATTGCAAGTAAGTCTCTTTGCTCATATACGCCATGCTGTCAAAAGTTGTTGTTAATACAAGTGTTAATGTGAGATCATAAGGCAGTATCCAGTGTACCAAGTGAGAGCCAGGGTAGAACAGGGTAGAAATGAACGGAGAGTGGCAGACGATGATAGGAGTGCAGTTTCAGGGCACCTCCCCTCCACAAACTAGGACAGTAGAATGAGTTTAGCGAGAAGTGTCATGTAAACAGATAAGAGCAGGCCTTTTCTTAATGTAATTATTATTGTAAATAGACAGTGTACATAGTGGAAAATGTACGCAGGGAGTTCTGATTCACCCGTTAGTAACCATCCTGTCCTCAACCGAGCCCGAGCTTCCCTAGCCAAGACAGCCGACGGCAGCCGAGTGCAGCGCAGATACTAGGAAAAGAGTAACAACCGACGAAAGTAATTATAAGTTCTCACCCCCTCCCCCTGAGGTGTAACAACATAAATATTAAAATGTAAGAAAGAGAGAACTTACCTTTCTTTACTATATTTTAAACATAAATATATACGAGTCTGAACTGTGTATTATTTATTAAAATACTCTTTATGTGTTTTTATATTGCAGTTACTTAATTATTTACTCCCGTTTTCTACAGTGCTCTGAGAAACTATATCCCTTTTGCATCCATTCTTCCCAACTCTTCGCTGTTTTCCTCAGTCTCCCCACTCTAAACTTCCGCAAATCATCTTCTGCAGCTATCAGCTATTTCCTTTCGAGCCTTGCCACCACGGTCCCACTGTCTGGCTTATTCTAATCACATGCTCCACTCTAGAATTCTCCATTTATCTCGGACTAGACCAGAGGCTTCCTTTATATGAAACGCGTTTTACCTTATCTGAAATTTCCGCTGTCCGTCCTGTTTACCTCGGATAACTGGACCCCTCATTATGCTGTTCTTGTTGCACGCCATATCAGCTTATGCACACAGCGAGATCAATAGCTTCTATAGAAGCCGAACAGTTCCGATCGCCCCTGTATACAGCAAGATAGCGTTGATTCTTGAATCTTGGAACTCAGCAATAGTTTGTGTGCACACATAAAGTCTTCCGACACGCCTGCGAAATTAGCTGCATCTTGTGCAGTTCTAATGACTCATTCTGTTTGTGATGAATGCAGACTGTGAGGTAAGGTAGCATACAGTTTGGAAGGAATTTCATTTGCTTATATATGGGACGGAGAAAATAATTTTGTATGTCGCTACGGCAGCGTTTGGCGTACAAAGTTCATTCCACGTTTCTTTAACTTCGAAACTTCCAGAAGAATTTCGTTCGCGAGGAACAGGCATATAAATTAGTGGCGAGAGTGCCCACTCTTCTGCTGAGATGCTCTGATGTCTAGTTTCCTTGTCATGACGCAGCGCAGCGTAGTTAAAATATTAAAAGGAGGAATATCACCAGAGTACAGTAACTGGGATAGCGCAGTCGGTATAGCGACTAGCCATGGGATGCACGCCCGAGGGTTCGGAGTTCGACTCCCGGTAGAGTCAAGAATTCTCTCTTCTCCACGTAGACCAGGCCGACTCTGGGGCCCACCGAGCCTCCTATCTAATAGGTACCGGAGGCTCTTTCTCTGGGGGTAAGGCGATCGGGGCTTTAAGCTGACCACACCTCCAACTAGCACCGAGGTCAACAAAATAATTATCTATACATGCACTCCCCCATACGCCTTCATTGCGTAGTGCTTAATTAGTTAAGCACATGGACAACTTTACCTTTTATCACTCATGTATTTTATTAATTCATAATTAACGTCTAATTGTCATATAATCGATTCCTTAGCAAAAATCCGACGGAAATATTTCCTTGCGTTGTCACTGGTATTACTGTATGTGCGTTATGAACTTGTATACCCACACGTATGTTTGTCTGCGTAGCATTACTCAGTAGCTGCTCTATATATTTGCTTATTGCAAATTTGTTGCCTATCAGCGGATGTTGTTTCGTAGTTTGATTCAAGGTCGTTAGCCAATACCGGATCTACACGCTACAATAGTAAAAGTTTCCAGCGGACCACAGCATCCCTAAGTTCTGTCAATGAGTAACGCGACGGGTTACAGGATGGATGCGGGTTTCACATCCCAGCGCTTCTTCTAGCTCGACAGTGGAGCCCGCCCGACTCCAATAAAGCGGGTGCTGGCGGTTTGTTCTCCGTGGGTAAAGCGTCACTAACGTTAAGCTGACCACTAGCCTTCACTCAGTGCGCAGATTTGCCTCGACTTCCACAAAACTTCTTCACGACGCGGTGTTAACCTCCGGAACGAATTTGACTGTTATTTCTGCCGCATAGGACAACACAGAGTGTCCAGGGGGGAAGTCACGGTGTATGTGTACATGTGTCCTATTCCGAACGGTTTCCGAGACAGAGTTACCCCACACTGTACTTCCGAAAGAGAGAGTACGTGCTGTTTCTAATACCAGTACTTGTTGTTCAAGTGACAAAGTTGGTACATAGAGCTACAAGGCTTATTTTGGACCCTATCCACCGTATGTCTCTGTCCTCAGGTGGATGGGGCAAGATAGACCTACTCAGTTGGGCCCGCTACAAAGAGCTAGTCTCAATCACCGGACCAGTGATTGAGAGAGATCCAGTCTCCGAAACGTTGTGGTTTTTTGTCTTACTATATACCAGACGATGAATTGAGTCCAAAATAAGCCTCATAGTTCTGTACAGCATACCTAATCGTCAGAATCCTTTCAAGTCCGAAGTTGGTACAGTTTACCTAGTACAATACGTTTTAGAAAATTCCACAATCAACATCAACGCACTTTGCAACTCGTGTGAGGACATGACGTGTTGCTCATCTGTACAGTGTACAGTGAAATAGCTCCATCTTGGAAACCGTTCAGAACACGTAGGATATGCGTATACTCGTATGTTATACTTGTATAATGCGGACAGTCTGCATAACAATGTTTATTTGGTTATTTAGTATGTGTACTTCAACCCAAATATTCATTCAGTAACAACTTCTATGCAAGCTTTACGTCACAATTTAAAATTGTTATAGATCACTGCAAGTAGAAACAACTGGTTGAGTGAGGTAAAGTGTAACAAGCACGCGCCTCATACGACAACAGGCAGCCATTAGAATTTTGAGTGTACTACAACTAATAACCACCATAACTCATCTTTCAGAAAGTTCAAGTTTGTGAAGTAAAACCTCGAAACGCGAGCACCCCACAGTATAATTATTACTACCACTGGAGCAATATATTGATAGGTAGCGGCCACCACCTGTCCACCTGGAATATTCTGTATATTAATGCAACAGTGAGATGAAAAGTATGAAATTATGAAATTTTCTGTTACCATAGTAACGAACTGTCAACTGATAACTTATTGCGTGAGCCCAAGTTCGCAGTAGGTCACGAACGAGAGAGTAGTTGCATTGTATATTGCCTATTCGGTCAGTACTGATAATATTCTGATGTGGATATATGAAGCAGAGACGGGTGGTGTTTGCAAGAGATGGCTTTAAAGTAGGCTTCGGTGCATCAGTCGATAACGTGTAGGCCTGGAAAGGACACGGAGATACGGCCACTAAATGCATGATGAGGGCGACGGACAAGGAACAGGGAACCAAAAATATTTCTTACCTGTCGATGAGCGTTTTTGACTTCCTCAGCAATATCTCAACGTCTTGACTCTGCGACTCACAAGATGACGTCTTGTCTAGAATACTCCCATGCAGATTAACCTGAAATGATACAAATGTAGCGCGTAGTGTAACGTGGCCAGTTGAAGATCAAAAAAAAAAATCGAATCAAAATTGCAGGCAGGAAAGAATTAATAGAAGATTCAATTCGCTTCAGAATTTCTCTCTGCCTATCACATGTGTGATATCACATGCGAGGGGNGGCCTGTCGCGGACAAGTGGAGTACCTTCCGTGGGGCAAAATGACACGAGAGACTGTCCTGATGTAGCCGTCACACGGAGCAAGTGTAGTAGCGTCTGCAGGGCACAAATCCACTTCTTCAAAGCGCACCCGAGAAAGCAAACATCGCAATTCCTTAATGATCATCCGTGAAGCCAATTCTAGTTGTGTCTTCAAGTTATTGGGTTTTCCTCCTGACTGAGAATTCACTTTGATCCTTTGTTCAGCAGGATCTCCTTGCCCGGCTGGTTGTATCCTTATCTAGCAAACAGTACACTGTCTGGGTGTAATACGATCCCAGTACTGCCTCATGACTGAGGAGGCTCCTTAACACGTCTTTTTATCTCAGCAACAAAACAGATCTCCCGTCTTCAAAATTCTTCAGCAACTGCTGTCTTTGTTACCCGTCCTTTCTTGTCTTTATTGTGCCCAGGAGAGGAACTTCGTCAAAAGCAAAAGGCGCAAAGCGAGCTTCTGGCTGTCCAACGTCAACTTTGTATTGGATTTGAGGCAAATGTGAACATAATATTACCGAACGGGCTGGTCTAGAGGCAACATTTTAGATTTGTATTCTGTAAGTTCTCGGTTCGAATCCCGGCTGGGACGACTATTTTATTCTTCGGTCACTCTAGACAAATGCTGTAATAGGAACCCGTAGAAGAGACGATCGCTTCTGTCTCAACGCTTTCCAGTTCTTCAGCTACTGCATCACGTGACACCACAGATTCTTGGCTCTGAGGTATCCTTAAATATCCTATGAATATTTGTAGTGACACCGTGAATCCTGGTAGAGAAGAAGCAACCTTCCTAAGGAACCTTTTCTTCCATCGTTACCTGAAGATTGACATGAAAATGTAAAACCTTGGTGCACTTGTACCGGCCTACACGGCATTGCGTATCAGAGGATAATATCTTCTTATTCTCTAAGGCACAAATTGAATCACCGTAATTAAACTCCATTCAATATTGATCCAATTTATTCTGCTTATCAGCCGCAAAAATTCGTACTAAACGGCTCTCGTTTCGGAGACCGCCTATGATTCCAACATGTACGCGTATTCCCTCACGATGTAGAGAGACGTCGCCGAAACGTCTGTTGCTTGCTCCGAACTGACGTGGCTGATCTCCCGAAAATACTGGATCTTCTCAGAACTTCAGAACTGATCTATCTGATTCTGAGGCTAACAAAGACTAGAATCCAAGGAATCATAAGTGTAATACACTGCCGTGAGAACGTTTCAGGAAAGGTAGAGGGAAGTGACACTTCAGCACAATGCATACTACCTTATTTGGTGAGGTCTTCATGTAAGCAGTTTTGTTATCTTGTGTAGTTTTGCCCTTAATTTAGCGGTATGTCTAAATACTGTTAAACTGTTTAGGTGCCTTGCCTACTCTGTTTCAAATTCTTCCAAACCTACAGGGCTGCAGCCGCGTGTGCATGCACGAACGTGTAGCAAGCCACCGTGAAGAATTTACGCTTTCGTCTGTCACTCTTGCGTAGGCACACAGCTCTTCACTTGGACTTGTAACTGAAGCGTGCAGCTGTTCCAGCACGGAGTGAGGGGCGTACTGGAACATGGGAGACTGTGGAACGCTGGTGTTCAATAAAAGTGATCTCATTTTGTTGAACTATTGAAGCTTCGTTTCTTCTGCTTGTGGATGTGTAACGTGAAAATCTCGCATAAAAGTGCCTCTGGTAGTTCCTGTTACCGCCTTCTCCACCAAAAAATTTCACTCATCAGTCGATGTATGAAATCTAAACATTGTCATTTTAACATCCTTTACAAAGTACTAACAAATCTTCAAAATTTCAACTACGCTTTCATTTTTTAAAATTTAGGTATTATTTTCTCTACTAGCACTAAACACCTCGCTTCTAACAAACCCTCTGCCGTGCGAATGAAGTGGCATTGTTTCCTTACGTCTCAGTACAACCTTCTCTGTAGATCGGCATTCTCACTTTCTTACACTGTTCGTTAGCTTCAGCACCACGGACAGTATCATGGCTTCAGTAGCTCTCTCCTGAAACGTCCGAGATATTTGTTTCGGCTTCTCTCTTAAACTTAATTCCCGAGCATGGCTACATAAATCTACGTCTGCTTTGTTCCTCAGAAAACAAAGCCAAAACACTTAATGAGAAATAGGCTGTAGTCCGGCTGAGGACGCTTAGATCACGTGACTTCTGAACGAAGAGACCAAGTGCCTGCTGCTTAGCAAAAGACATTTCGAGCTGATTGGTCACCAACAAAGATAAAACCTTAACTCGATTTCCAGTTTTAGTGAAAACAATGAAATTACTTCTTTTCGCTTAGTGGGGGGTGGAGTCCATCTGGGTCCACTCGGCACGGCGGCCACTGATTGGCCTATTGTATAGCCTGCCCCGGGTGATTATGATGATGGAGAATTTGGTGGAATGAAGATTGGCAGGGGAAACCGAAGTACTCGGAGAAACCCCGCCCCAGCGCCACTTTGTCCACCACAAATCCCACTTGACCAGACCCGGGATCGAACCCGGACCGCCGCTGTGGGAAGCCAGCGACTATCCGCTTGAGCTATGGCGCGGCCTATGAAATTACTTTAGTCAAAGTGTCACACTTCTATTTTGCCTGTTATTAGGCAGGGGAAGTTTATTTTCAATTGCTTTGCGTTGCGTATTTAACAACACTATCAACATCAAGCGTCACAGACAGCTTGCTTAATGAAAGTGGAGCAGCCGATAGAACGAGAATTGGCAGGGGAACCAGAAGAATTTAGAAGAGATCAGCCCCATTTGCACTTAGTCCACCACAAATATCATATAATTGACCTGGTATCGAAACCGACCCCTCGCGCTGTGCACTGTTCGAGTGAAACTTGGTGTTATTAAAGGGACGAACGCTAATTATAGGGTGTTTTAAAGGGCTTGCAATTAGGAAATTACCTTACACACTGACGGATGAAGACGCGCGTCGTTACCCAACGAAAAGTTCCCCGGTTCATACACATTTTTGCAGCTGTGACGTCCCGAGCGGAGTGTCCGTAGCAACAAAATCCTCAGACCAGCAAATCTGTCAGATTTTGCTACCTCAGAAACGAAGCATGGATTCGAAATTAGTTAATGCACTGCGTTGCAGGTTACTTTGTCAATTCTGCGAGTTTCTACTGGTCTGGGCCTCTAATTGTGTCGGATTTTGCAGTGGATCGGAAGTTAGTTTGTCAGTTAGTTAGTTGGTTAGCTAGTTACTCAACTGGATACATGGATTTTTCCCTGTATGCTGTGTACATTAGGGCAAGTTGCAACATACCACTTTAGTATATCTCCGTGTTGATTTACATGCCGTTAAAGCCCTGATACATTTCGTCCAGTGAAGACCATTCTCATGAAGTGCGATATATTAAAGGGAAAATTTACACTTCAAGTATACAACAAACGAAAAGCTTAAAATATTTGAGCCATATTTTAAGAAGTTAAAACTTATGTTATGTTAATATTTTGGCATGTAGATTCCGCCAATAGACACGATCGCAAGAATTGTACTGCAACAGAGGTACGGAGTTTTCCACGCGATCCGTGCCGAAATGTTATAAGGAGGACACCTATGAGCTCGAGTTAGTGAAGAGTTTGTTAGTGAGTGAGTAGATAGGAGACTGCTGCCATTCAGTCGTTATGGTGTGTCGCTGTTACTCGCAGAAGTTGGTAGCTGAGGTCCGGGGCAGTTCTGGGACCCATAGGCAGAGGATGTCCGCCGTTGGAAGCCGCTATCAAGCAAAGGCAAGTGGAGTCAGCAATAGACTGAGAATAGTAATCTGTGTGTGACAATAATTTGTTAAGTGTAGTCACGAGTTCTATGTTAAAGTGTTCAATAAATACGATTACAAATCCAGACCCCGCTTGTAGTCACTCCATATGCGCAAAAATGTTCTTGAAAATAACACGCATTGCAGTTCAGCTGATTACAGTGTTCAGTGTTCAATGTTCCGTGGTACCCTACTATCACATACCCAATTTTAGATGCCCAAGAGGCAGTGGTATTCAACACCCATCCCATGGAAGAAAGAAAAAAAGATAATATCCCTTTCCATATACGTGAGCTGGTAACGAAGCAGATGGCAGAAATCAAGAAACAATGACTACAGGCTTCTTTATAGCAGACTAAGGCGAAGACTACATAACGCCTTAACAAACGCGTAGACTAAAACATTCCAACACTACATGGCGCCTCTAAAGATGACCACACAATCCGGAAGACAACAAAGAAGTTCAAAAGACCCAAAATATCGACACCGCCGATAAGAAAATCGGATAGAAGTGATGACGAAAGAGCCACAAAGTTTGCTGAACATCTGGAACAGGTATTCACACCACAGTCTGACACACATCAAAATGACAGTAAAACTGAAGACTTCCGGGAAGTACCAAGTCAAATGTCGTTACCTATCAAACGCTCTCACCTGGAGAAGTAGTACAAGAAATTAAGAACATAAATCCGTACAAAGCACCCGGTTATGACCTTATCACAGGAAAATACTCAGTTACCAAGAAAAACAACAGCATTGCTAACATAACAGCATGCTCAGAAGGGCGCACTGCCCGATAATGTGGAAATGCGCCCAGATCATACCGCTACCTGAACCTGGGAAACCAGCCAACGAAGTAAATTCTTATCGGCCGACTGGTTTGCTGCTGGTCACACTGAAGCTTTTTGAAACGTCAGTATTGAACAAGATTAGAACAGACCTAGACCTGTCGGCCGGTATTCGCGGTTACCAATTGGATTCAGGGAGGGGCGGTCCACAGTACAACAAACGCACAGAACAGTAAACAAGATGGCAACAAGCCTCGAAGGAAGACACTGTGTACAGCAGTTTGCCTTGACGTAGCTCAGGCCTTTGATATTGTCTGGCATAACGGGCTACTATATAAAACCAAAAATACATCCCCCAGCCCATAAGACCTACTTTTAAAGTCACACTTTACTGAAAGACACTATCAAGTTATATATAATAATTAATATTCAGATTGCTACGAGGTGAAATCAGGTGTACCGCAAGGAGGCGTGAAGGGGTTTCTACTGTACTTAAACTATACTGCAGACTTGCCCACAACAAACAACTCTACAATCGCAGCCTTCACGGATGACAGTGTCCTGCTAGCATCACATCTTCAACATCAGATAAACCTCCTCCAGCAATGGTACAGTAAATGAAAAATCAAAATAAACCACACAAAATCAGTGCAAGCTACATTCACCCCAAACTTGCCCGCAGGTTACCATCAATAATATGCAAATACCGGTTCAAACCGAAGTAAAACACTTGGGATCATACCTCGCCAAAAAACTGACATGGCAGAAATACGTCAAAACAAAGCGTCAGAAATTAGATTTAAAACTACGAGAAATTTCCTGCCTTTTGGGCCGTAAATCCAAGCTATCCACAGAAAACAAACTTCTAACATATAAATATATAATAAAACCCATATGGACGTGTGGTATCCAGCTATGGGACTGTGCAAAACCATCAAATATGAAAATAATTCAAAGACTTCAATCCAAATTCATGTGCTTTATAACTAAAACACCTTGGTAAGTCTCCAACTTTACTATTCACAATAAATTGCAAATCCCATTTGTCATAGAAGAAATGCATATACTGTCAGCACTCTACCACCAAAGCATGCGCGGACTCAGTAACAGACTAGCTGCAGAGCTTAGCAACCCACCAAATGTAAGAAGGGGCCGTCTGACCTACCCCAACCCTCCCCATCGCCATTCCTCTACAGGACCTGTCAGGATGCCTTCTCTACTCAAGACACCTACTTAGAGCAAATTTGCTTATTGCTCCAGATTATCGGCAGTGGGTTGTAAATATGCTATTAATTAAATAAAAAATGCAAGTTAAATTTACTGTTTGAACTGAGGTAACTGTGAAGAATACTACATAATTAAATATACTGCCGTATAATCTGGTATAATTTTTGCGACATTCCTCCGAAACGTCGGAAAATTTCAACCAGTCTACATTAATCATATTACGATTTCAAATAAGTTGACTATGTTTTCAGTAGTCATGAAGCAAATGTTTAGATTTCAACTGTTTAGTCGGTCGGTTAGGCAGCTGCGTTAAGCGGTTCCTGATCTGGTTATATTAGCCGGACTCCTGCAAGCCGCAATGAATCGATGGGTCCCAAGATATTTCCATAATTACTCGATTATACTCGATTATAATATCGTTAGCTCTGGCTTGCAGGTTGGACAGAGCGATCATCTCAGCTGGTCTCTTGCTCGGGCTAATACAGTATTCGCTCCTGAACATGGAGATGATATCGTCAAGTGTATGCGTCACTATAGACGGGATATTAGAGTGGATATCTCTTTAGCACACAACCCGTAATTACACTTAGTTACAGCGCACAGTCTACTGCTCGCATTTTCTCACCAGATGTCTCCTCCAAGCAACGGCCTCAACAATGGCTACTCCTCTGCTTCGGCGCTTGGGTCCTCTCCGAACGGCGGCTCCCAACTGTACTGTTCTTAAAAGTCACAGTCACTTTACGACTGGCGGTTTACGGCCAATCAGTTTGTCTTGGTGTCATGACCCTTGAGACCCACGACCAGAGATTCATTTTATCAACCGAACCCTTGCAGTAATAGTACTTATGTAACGTCCTCTCTGAAGGGAAGATGTGTTTGTATCTTATGAATACACTTGGCCTTTTGTAAGGTGTATATTTCGCATATATAACATATTGAAAATTCTTCCTTTTGCACTACACACCATTCCTCTGTCAGCGCAGGCTTTACGGAGCAGATCATGCCTAACTTACGTATCTTATGCTACATACTACATATCGCTTCATGCTACATGCAAAGTAGAAAACACTGTTTCCAACAGTATCTCTACTGTTGCTTGCGTATTAGTTGCCGCGGGAACGTCTTTACCGAACCATTGCCTGGAAACGTCTCTACACGCTACAATATGTTCCTAATCATCAGGCGTTGTCCTAACTACACGGCGTTACAAACCAGACGACCATAATATTCATAGTCACCGTCCTGTGAACCTCGACGCGAACACTCACGTGGTCTGGGTCGCATCGCCTGTCAGATGCTGCGATGTCATAGATATAAACGTAGTCAGGCAGTGGCAGTTATGTGCTTAGTTACTTAGTAGGTTGGATTCTAGTACCACAAACTGTCTCCTTATGTATTATGGAAAGTATATTCAAAATTGGCCGGTCACGGTAGCCGAGCGGTCTAAGGCATGCACTGTCTTCGCTCGCTCGGAAACCGGGATCGTGGGTTCGGATCTGTTTCCTGTGAGGTACGAACTGAATTCTTATGTGGTTGCTTAGGAAATCCTTCCTAGCATTTGTTTCTTCTTTATGGTTTATTCCGTCTTCAATTTACCTGGAACTTGTCATGGTGCAGGTCCAGAAACCTCTTCACCCTCAACGTGTCGTTGTTGCGTATTGCCCGTTCCAACTGCGCAGCCTCAATGCTGAGGTCGCCCGACGAAGACGCCAAACTGCAAAAACAAGCGACACAGCAGCTACAGAAAACAGGTTCAAAATGAGCTCTTTTTATGTGCTCTTAGAACGAACGGTTTCTCCAAGTGCACACGTTTCCTCTTGCGAGCCTATTAAAACTCAATGAGCTATAATATAAATCTACAATTTAAATTTCCGGGCGAAATTATACACCAAATTTTACTGCTGTGCAGAGATGTTTTCTCAAACTTTGCTTACAAAAACAGATTTAATCAAGAAAAACTCACATCACTCTTTCTTTAACTACGGCCGTTTCTGAGCAACGGCTCCGTACACACGTTCTCGTGGACACAAACAGGCACGAAACAATATAGCAACGGTGTTTTCGATGTGGACCTTGCCGAAGAGTTATAAAGAAGAAAACTGGGGCAATCCGGTCAGTTGAAGTGAGCTCTGCAAAGGAGGCTGAGAAGAGACGTCGCTATAGTCGAGCGATTTGGGTTCATTCTGCATGGACAGATGTGACAAAATGACATGAATGTGGGAAGCTGAAGAATCTACACTGTAAGAAGCCGATTCCAGGAAACGTCTAGCGAAGACGGAGAAGACCTAGTGTGTGCTAGTGATCTGTAAAGTGTACAAATCAGTGAGAGCGCTGTCATTTTTTGTAGTTCCGAGTGGTGTGTACAAGTGGCCAGTAAATTCATTCACCAAAATTAAAACCCAGTCTATATTCACCCCTACATCGTGACAATATTATCAGTTTCAAAGTGGTAAGAGCGCTCAAATTTGAGACCTTCGGACGAATTTAATGAACTCTGGATCTGCGTTAATGTAAATTATGCACAGCCTTAAGTTACTAAATTATAAAATGATATATTTATATTTCTAAATAATTATAAACTGAAATACTGAAAGAAAGTTAGCGTTCTGAATTCTCCCCAGAACTCGCTGTTTCAACCTGAACTTTGTACCGATATTCCTGTACAGAACAAACCTGCATAGCGAGTTTTGCATTGATTTTTCTTGTTCTTCGTGTTTACTCAGATTACGCAAAATATTTAAGAAGAAAAACCATTTCCTTCTTCCATTCCTACAACTTTTAGTATGTTTATCTCCTTCACTTTCTGTTTCCGGTCTGTCTTTTCTATTTCCTGTTCGCTGAGAAATTCGACTCGGAATTCTTAGGGGCTGCACAACACAGCTTCGAGACAATAACATATCTAATCTATGTTTATTGTTATTCTTGTGTTCTTATGTTGAGTAATATATTTGTAAATCATTTGGTAAACATAACACTCTTAGAATATTGTTTAAAATTCGACTGCAAAATTTTCAGTTTTCATGTCCAGTTACGCTTCGCAGAGAAGCTTCATAACTTGTACTCTTCTCCAAGTATAATTAGAACGATCAACTCAAGGAGGATCAGATGGGCAGGGAATGTAGCACGAATGGGGGAGACGAGGAATGCGTATAGGATATTGGTGGGAAAGCCAGAACTGGGAAGACCAAGGCGTAGGTGGGTGCACAATATTAAAACGTATCTTAGAGAGATAGAATGGGATTGTATGGATTGGATTGATCTGGCTCAGGGTAGGGACCAGTGGATGGCCTTCTGAACACGGTAATGAACCTTCGGGTTCCATAAAATGCTGGGAAATTCTTGAGTAGCTGCAGAATTGGCGGCTCCTCCAGAAGGGCTCAACTCCTTGAGTGAGTAAGTAAGTAAGTTACGCTTTGCAGGGGCAGTCATGCCACTGAATAGCGCTTTTACATTACAGCATTAGAAATCGCGGTTTCTCTGAACATGTAGGGTTCTGGGAAGACATCCCGATAGATTAAGCATTATATAATAATATTCTAGAGGCACAGGGCGGAAGTCTGATACCGACTGACAGTACATTCTATTCGTGCCAATTTCTGATTTAGACGTAATTTTCGCGCATGGTTTCCACGGAAACGGAACGACGAAAAGTCGACAAACATTACGACCACTAAGTATACATGGCTGTGCTTTTGTCGCTGACTCCGGATCGACCGAATGCGGGTGACGCGTGGAGCGCGACTCCTGACGAGAGAGGAACTTCAGCGAGTTCAGCGAGTTAGGCAGCTGAGGAACTAATTAAAATCCGGCAACAGCCTGAAGCCACACAAACGTAAAGCAGAGCTCTCGGCCACGTTTGCGGCCGCAATCCTTCCTCACAGAGTGCTTGAAATGAACGCGTAATGTGGAGAGTAGATCTGTCTGCTCAGCGCCATGTTTCATTTTCACCAAGCCTGTTCGTGTGGCGCCAATATTCTAGGCTTGTATTCGGAGAGTGCTCGGTTTGAATCCAGGCCAAGGTACCGTATATTCCAGCTAAGATTTATCATGATTTACCTTTGTCCCTCCACAAAAATGCCTTGGTAATACCTCGATTGTGCCATTAGAGCTTCCTTGCGAATCCTTTCCAGCTAATCATTGAACAGTCATGCAGTTTAGCTACTGACAGCGTCGAAAAATAAACATTAAAAAAAGGGTGCCGTTTGAGAAATTATGGAAATATATCGCTTGAAATTTTTATGGTTTTGGTGCCTACAGTGAAAGAAAGGAAATTTTAAGTTATCTTCTGGGATATATCGCCGTACAGTCCGACGTTTCGGGTAACATGTAGCCTCCATATGCAAGCAAGAAAGCAAGCTTACTTTCTACCTGCTTCACCTTGGTCTCTTGCTTGGCTTATTTGCGGCCCCTGAAAATGGGGGCGACATGTCCCTCCGAAACCTTGAGGGACAGAGAACATCATGTCCTCTAAAGGGAGTTCGACTTGCATTTGTAATGCGGTACATTGCATCAATTTCAAAGGAAATTTTATCTGAAATTGGCTCCTGCCTGCAGTGGCTACGAATTATGTAATAGAGTGGAGTCTGTTAGGTATTTACCTACAATGATGTTACCTCCTGCACCCCTGAAAACGGAGGTAATATGTTCCTCCGAAATTTTTGTAAACGTTTCTTAGAATACACGGGTCATACCCTAGAAAACACCAGACTTGAAACTTCATCGACTTCGTAAGGAACGCTCATCGCGCTAAATTCTGACGTCACAGAAAGTGCTGATTTCGTGTAACGTAACTGTTTCCTAGGAAGTCCAAATCATTTGAATGCATTTTCAGCCTTTGTATTCGCGTCTGCAAAGAAGAGATACGAAGGACATGTTCTGTATATGCCTTGCTGCACATTTAAATAGTATTAATTCTTTGATAATTGACAAAACTTCGTAAGAGAAGTTAGTCACAATTAACGACTCAACAGGCATATAGCGAGCGGAGCGTGAGCAGGTGCTCACACAGTTTCTTCTCTTTTTTCTTCTACCCTGAAGATGGAGGTCATACGTTCCTCCCGAAACTTCGGTCATCCCAGAAGACTGCTTTCTTCAGTCACCGCCGTGAAAACCTCAACTCTTACACAATGCAACAATTGTTTATTCACCATTTAACAATGGACTGCAACGCGCGGTTTTAGCGCACTTCAGAGCAGTGTAACAGTTTGGATGCATTAAAACACCTGAAGATGACAATCTATGGCCGAAACATGTTGTGTTAAGTGTTAAATGGTGAATAAACAATTGTTGCAGTATTGACGGACTGTGGATATATAGATGTTTAATTAAACTTTTAATCTTCTCCTCTAACGTCATTGCTCTGAGGTTCCAGTATCCTCCCCAGGATATCTTCAACTTATATCCTTCCTTTAATGCAACAGACCAAGTTTCACACCCGTATAATGTATATATTTTTTATAAAAGATCTCTACGTATATGAAGAACCTAAGAGACAATTAAGAATACCGAAAGAGATGAACATGTTCCCAGACGCCGAACACTGAAGAAACAGCAGCAGAAGACGCTGCTGTTGTGTTGTGCTGTTGTTGTGCAGGGCATTGTCCCATAGCGGCGCCGGCAAAGTTCCGATAACATGGAAATGCTTTCACGAGCCAACCGACTCGCAATTTTGTGCTTCTCTGAGATTAAAGTAACTGCTGCTTCCAACGGGGGATTAGCACTGCAACCCTCGTTAAAACAAAGAGCAATATTGCGATTTGGGTAACCCGCCCGCAGCTCATTTTAATTGAGCCAGAAGACACTTTCCCACATTGTTTTCCTTCTGCTAACCAAGCCGGGAAAGCAGTCATAACATTGAATATTATTATCTTCGGTGTATGAGCAACATTGTTTTAGAATCTATCCTAAAAGTGACGTCATAATTATGCTGCGAAACATTGCTATATATCTACCAAACTACACGGCGTCACTTCCCAGGAAGAAGATATTCTAAGTAATATGAAAGCCAACAGCCGTTTCGGATGAATATATCACTTTTCTTGCTACATGCTTCGTGCCGGTTTCAGCCCTGAAAATGAGGCTGTTGGTCCGAAACGTCTGTTGCCTTTCAGGGGCCACATGTTGCTATATCCCAGAAGCCGTGGGAACATCAAATCCCTTACAAAATATTAGTGTGTGGCATCTACAGATCAGAGTTCCGAAAGTTAATTAACGAGATAACAAACGACATGGAGTAACAGGGCGGAAACACGATTTATCTTGGTGGTCGCAGGACACAAAATGGCGGATCACAAAGACGAACTACCTGCCAGAGGAGAAATCAATACAAAAATGGAAACGTGCATAGATATTGATCCCAATACTGGGTCTGTGGATGTGGGCAGTGTTGTGAACGTTTGGGACGTATGCGTGCCTACATCTTCAACGTAAACTGGTGGCCGTTTCGGCTTATTGTTTCCTGCCGAATTTTCGTGTACACAGTGGCCCACAGAGGGGCCCTTCGGACCGTGGCCTTTGCTTCTATCGACCAGTACCGAAGACTAGACCCCACCATTACCCCTTGGGTCAACTGGACCAAAATATATTGTCTATAAGGGGGGTTTCGAATAATTGAATTTGTTGACAATTTACAGGTCGAAAATACAAATAATTATAACACTATCATTGATTCCCACAAATCACAAATCACTACACGCTAAATATTCTCCGTCTTCA